CCTTCTTTCCTTCTTTCCCTTTTTCTTTCTCTTTCTTTCTTTCTATTTCTTCCTTCCTTCCTTTCTCTCTCTCTCTCTCTCTGTCTGTCCACATTTTCAATATTATTGTTGCTGTGTTATATCCTCATCCTCCTGGTGAGTATAATGAAGGAGGAAACAGATGTTCCTTCGGTGGAAAAACTAACAATTACCATGGTTGAAAGTAGGAAACAGAACAAAGATTTGAAGTTACATTTCATCTCCATGCCTGTTGATTTCTGTAGAAGTGAGGTGGTCGCTAATGTTTTCACCTTTACCGTTTGTTACATTTGCTGTAAGTCTTCTTCTTTTAGATCAAGGTTTTTAGGTGCGTCAGTCATGTTGTGGCCTCATTAGTGTCTGTGTGACATCCCTCAGGATACAAGAAAGGGTGACGCATTGCTCTTCTGAGCACACCTGCAGCACTCATTAGAAAGTGGCAAGATAGATCAATATTGGCTATGAAAGTTTCAGCTTTTTCAAATTGAAAAAGTGTCTGGAAAATATTTTAAGTAGTGCATAAGTCCAGGAACCAGATTATGTCATAGAACCTAGGTGGTTTGCCTGTCTGCCATTCACAGTCACTGCTGTAAGAAGTGACACTTCCATTGTAATGTGCAGAAGCCCCGATTGAGCCCTTTTTCATCACAGTAGCAGTTGGGTGGGTGCTACTGAGCATGCAAAGAATGGGAGTGGCTAAATGAAAAGTCTAAAAACCTTAAAAGCTGAAAAAACACTTTCTGCTTCTGTCAGTGCCTTCTGCTTCCAAGCATTTGCAGTCTCAGGTTAACTGCCTAGCTCATTTTCTTCTGGCTTTTTCCCACTGGAATAATTATCCTTCTAAATAGTCTTTCAGCACCAATGAGCTTCACTTAGCTAATAGTTTTGTGGAAGCCGATGGCTTTATGTTAATTTTCTCCTTTCAAATGAAAGATAAAGCACATGTGAGACCACTAGCAGCTGCTGTCGTTGAAGAGTTACAGCTGCCCTCTTCAGGCAGTGGAGAACAAAGTTGCCTTGCTAATCAGCTCTGTGTGACTTCAAGGTGATGGTTATAATCTGTAAAATTCTATGTGCATCTCAAATGAGGTTCATGTTTTGAAATATATACTTAAAGGTATAACCCCTATTTTGTCGTGTGTTTTCCCTTTGAAAACAATGGAAACTAGTAGTCTAATAGAAGTTGGATATTCTGTACCTCAGTACTTTGGCGAATATGGATCCACAGCAGTAAGACCATATCTATACTTCCATGAGCATACACAAAAGTTCTTAGAAAGTTCAGCTTGATGAACAGTATGTGTACTTGAACCAAAATAAGGGTACCAAAAAATGCCAGTGAAACAACATAGCTTTTATAAATGTGTTAGTGTTGTTCTTGTTTGTTTACTGTGGCTAGGGACATATTTATGATACGAAGTCAGAACAAGACTGTTCCTGTCCCACAGCCTCACATCTTATTACAAGGGAAAAGACAAGGGGACACCATAAAGGGTAACACTCTGGGAGTATGCAAAACATTAGCAGCAGTGTAAGAGCAGCCTGGAATCCCATTTTTCCCGTAGAGCTTGTGATTTCCTTTAAGCTCTGTGTTCTAGAATTGATTTATTAACTTAGTTTTATATGTTTTCATTGGTTCTAGCAGGCACCATTGTGTGACAAACAAAACCCTTCCAAATATTTGCTTCTTAATTGTGAGCCAATCTTTTCATTTTGGAGGGAAAGAAAGCAGGTTAAATAGTTGAACCTAACTAATGACTGGAGGAGAGGACAGTGAAACAGCCGTATCAACATCTCTTGGAACACTCTACTTGACACTTGTGGGAAATTTAAGTTAAAACCATCTGATTTGGTTAAATTTGGGCAAATTTCAGAAACAGGATCCAGAAGTGCTCTTGAAATGGCTGGAGTTTGGGTTAGAAGGCATCCAGGGTGGATATATGAAGGCAGGCTGTTGAAGTGTCCATGTAGCTACAGGGTTTGGATTGTTTTCCCCGTTAGACTGCAGAGCCAAAATATTCAGTGGACATAAAGGTTCATCAAATACATAAAATCAAAAGAATTGCCTAGGTTCATACAATAATGTCTGTTCCTCTTCAGAGCCCAAATTTTGCTGTCTTGCTTGTCCTCAAAGCTACATTTCTCCAGCCTTAAGATATTAACTCCAGTGTCCACATGAGAGAAGAAAGGCCTTTCAAATGTCAAACATAGGAACAATGACCATTTTCCTAACCTCCTTCTTCCAGATGCTCAGACATTTCTGGGTTCGCAACATGGGGGGCAGGGCAGGGACAGAGAGCAAAGGTGACAAATTCTGTGTTCCCTTTGCCATCTTTGAGTCTCAGGATAACTTACTTTGTTGAGGCTGTAAACAAAATGTCAAATACAAGTGTTTTCTTAACGCTTTTCTTAATGGCAAGCATGGCTAAACTTAGGTTGCTCTGCTATTCCAGAGGAATCCCTTGCTCCGGAATAAAAGGGAGTCTGTATACTGTTGATTATGATAGTCAAGGTGGTAGTGCCACCATACTTCCCCAACTAAGCAAATGATTTAACCACCTTGTAAATGTGGAAAACCTAAGTAATAAATACTTCTTGTCTAGCATGCTTGGTGCACAGCAAATTGGATCATGTTAGGCTTCGTCTGCTGCCTAATGCAATGTAACATAGCAGATACAATAAATCAAATGAGTGACACTCTATTAGACTTGAAAGACAATAGCTCTTGTAAAGCAGCTGGAGTGAGAATATGTCAATGCACTAGCTTTCAGATGTTTATTGAAGTCTTGAATCTTTGAAACCCGGCAAATTAGTATTTTAAGGGCTGTGAAACAAGTGACTACAAATACAGCAGTATGCTTATTACTGACAAAGCTCTTGCCTGAAACTGAATTCAGCTAAATGTTGTGTTTTCTTTAGTGTGCTCAATTCATTTTTTCATTTCTGCAAGTGCTTCCTAGAGACATTGCCTTGAACTTCAAAGTGTACCGCTACAAATGCTTTAGTGATTATCGTGGTAGCTAGACTCAGAATTTTTACTTACAAAAGTTCAGTAGTGCCTACCAAAGATCATTTTAAGTTTCAGTGAGCTAGGATTTAATAATATGGATTCAAAGAAATTGTATCCAGAAAATACTTTTGGTTGTTTTCAACATTATAAAAAAGCCTTATGTTTATTGAGGTCAATTTTAAGGAAGGTTTTAATTTGTGTTTCTTTCTTGTATTTCTTTCAACTGTTTGTTCATTTCGAATGCTTATAACAGTTCACTCTGTGTTTCATTACTTGAGCCTTTAAAAAAATGATCTGCTAATTATCTTTCAGTAAATAAGCAAGGAATTGCTATAAGGGTTGTAACCAATTAGGAAGCCTATGAAGTCATGCCTATTCTGTTTACTTAAAGCTGTGTTCTATTTTGTTTCTGCTTTATTTGCTTTATGAAGCCAGAACACTCAATTCTCAATATGCCATTTAAATAAGTTCTTTTATTTGATCATTGTGATGGTATTATGAATTAAATTTTTCAAAAATACAGGCAAAAAAACAGTTCAACAGCAAGGTTTTTTAATTATTTTTTTAATATCTGAAGAAACAGTGGAAGTGCCTTTATTTATTAATTCATAACGTGGCCTTCCCAAATACAGTATTTATTCTATAAAAATATAGTGCGTGTTCTTGAAGTTTGCCACTAAATTGTTAAATTAGTTAAAAATTAAATTTAAAGTAGCTTCTTCAAGAGATTTGTCTTCTAGATGAGATTTTCATGTGAGTCTCGACAGCATTTATGAAGGGAGTGTGCCCCCATTAGTTTATGGATTTGCTCTCCATTATCGTTAATTATATAGGAAGTTTTCAGAATCTGATAGGATAGTGTTAAGGACATTTGGGTACTATGCCTGTAATTTTCATTTTGTAATCTGTTTGGATTTCTAAATTTAGCCTCTGTGAGTACTTGCGAGTTTTAGAGTTCTTCACACTTGTTCTTCAGATTATTGAAATGCTTTGCTAATGTGTCATCCTCAATAATTGACATGTATTCATAATTGTAAATTAATGTTGCAGTTAATACCTGAAGAAAAAAATTGACATTAAATGTGTTTGGGGTTTTTTTGTAGCTGTTGTATGATAAAATCAAGAACCCAAAACTAGAACAAAAGTATAATGAACTTTCTTTCTCTGTGTAGCCCACTGTTTGTGAACGGGAGCTCTGTGTATTTGCTTTCCAAACTTTAGGAGTGATGAATGAAGCGGCTGATGAAATTGCAACTGGGGCTCAGGTAGAATTATCTAATGCTTATTACATGTCTGATTTTCTATAGTATACTCAGTCTTCTGAGTCTCTTCTAGTATTTATTTTGCCTTGTATTCCTCATATGTGTACTGTTTGATAAGTATTATTTATTTGTACACCCTTATAGCTGTAAATACACTGGTTTATGCATGGTGTTTTTAAACGGTACTAATGGTGTGCTTCCATTGTTTTGCTTCCAAGTAATTAGAGTAACCCTGTTTTCTTGTTCTGTTGTATTCAATTAGGTCACCTGGGTAGTTAATAAAGGCAGCCGTTGTCATTTGGAGATAATTCCCATTTATTTTCACCTAATGAGCGATTACTACTCTCATGCAATTAATAAGCTATTTCCTGTTCATGGTGTTGGGAAGCAGCTATCCACTGAGCATCTGTTGTTTTGATCATTAAATAACAGTGGGAAAGTCTTTACTGATGTTACTACATAGGGGTTTTTTCTGTCTTCTTAAGGATTGGGAATTTAATGTAAGGTTGCTTCCTGACTCTAAATTCAGCTATTAATCTAGTTAAAACCATATTGTTGTTTTCTTTCATAATTTTGTATGTGTCTTAAAGTATTGTAAACTGTTTCCAAATCACCATTTAACCATAGATTACAGTAAATTCTAAAGTTAAAAGATCTTATGTTTAAGATACTTTTAAGATCTTAAGTTAAAAGTTTACACATATGTCACTGTGCATTTACATAGTAAGCAACATGTTTTTTTCAGTAGACCAAACATTCAGTTCAGTTAACTTTAATTAGCAGTAGTGAGTCTAGCCACTGGAAATAAACTGTTCGGCTAAGTGTCTGAATGCCACATCCTCAAAGGAAGGAACATATGGGGCACATCCTCAAAGGAAGAAACCTTTAGCCGTGTGCACCATCTTCTTCACTTGAGAACATGACTGTGGGATCTGAACATCAGCTCTTCATCTGATGTCTGAAGACTGTTAGATGTCTATATTTGCAACAACTAGCATACCAAACTTTGGGATAACTGTGTAAGCTTGGAAGAAATGGATCGAGATGTGCTGATGAAGCCCCATGTCTTCCTCAGCCTGAAGTCCTCTGAAGACCTCAGCTCTGTGTTTCTGGGGAGCTAGAATTTTGTTTTTTTTCTTCAGGCACTTGTGTCATACATTACATGAAAGTAAGAATCATAGAATAGGTTGAGTTGAAAGGGGCCTTTAATAGTTATCTAGTCCAACTCCCCCCCGCCTCCGCAATCAGCGGGGACATCTTCAAGTAGATCAGGTTGCTCAGAGCCCTGTTCAACGTGACCTTGAATGTTTCCGGATATGGGGTATCTACCACCCGTCAGGGCAACCTGTTCCAGAGTTTCACCACCCTCATTGTAAAAAACTTCTTCCTGATACCTAGTCTAAATCTACCCTCTTTTAGTTTAAAACCATTATGCCTTGTCATATGGCTACAGGCTCTGCTAAAAAGATTGTCCCCATCTTTCTTATAAGCCCACTTTATGTACTGAAAGGCTGCAGTAAGGTCTTCCTGAAGCCTTCTTTTTTCCAGGCTGCACCCCGACTCCCTCAGCCTGTCCTCATAGGAAAGGTGCTTCAGTCCTCTGATCATTTCTGTGGCCCTCCTCTGGAGACGCTCCAACAGGTCGATGTCCTTCTTGTGTTGGGGGCTTCAGAGCTGGACGCAGTACTCCAGGTAGGGTCTCACCAGAGCAGAGTAGAGGGGCAGAATGACCTCCCTCAACCTGCTGGCCATGGTTCTGGGCATGAATGCAATTGGCTTTCTGGGCTGCAAGTGCACATTGCTGCCTCATGTCCTGCTTTTCATCCACCAGTTCCCCCAAGTTCTTCTCGGCAGGGCTGCTCTCAATCACCTTCATCCCACAGCCTGTATTAATACCGGGGATTGCCCCGATCCAGGTGCAGGACCTTGCATTTGGTCTTGTTGAACCACATGGTATTCACACAGGCCCACTTCTCAAGCTTGTCCAGGTCCCGCTGAATGGCGTCGCACCCCTCAGGCCTGTTGACCGCACTGCTGAGTTTGGTGTCATCTGCCAAGTTGCTGAGGGTGCACTCGATCCCACTGTTTATATCACTGATAAAGATACTAAACAGCACTGGTCCCAGTACGGACCACTGAGGGACACCACTTGTCAGTGATCTCCATCTGTGCATGGAGCCATTGACCACTACCCTCTGGATGTGACCGTCCAACCAATTCCTCACCAACCAAATAGTCCAACCATCAAATCTGTATCTCTCCAATTTGGAGAGAAGGATATTGGAGGGGGGACTGTGTCAGAGGCCTTACAGAAGTCCAAATAGATCACAGAATCACAGAATGTTAGGGGTTGGAAGGGACCTCGAAAGATCATCTAGACCAACCCCCCTGCCAGAGCAGGATCACTTAGAGTAGGTCACACAGGAATGTGTCCGGGTGGGTTTTGAATGTCTCCAGAGAAGGAGACTCCACAACCTCTCTGGGCAGCCTGTTCCAGTGGTCTAGCAATGACTTCCGCCAGCTCCCTCAGCACCTGTGGGTGCATCCCATCAGGGCCCATGGATTTATGTATGTCCAGATTGTTTAACTGATCCCTAACCCAGTCCTCATCAACCAAGTCAAACTCCTCCCTTATCCTGACTTCCTCTAGGGCCTCAGCCGTCTGGAACTCCTGAAGACAGTCTCCAGCAGTACAGACAGAGGCAAAGAAGGCATTCAGTAGCTCCGCCTTCTTTGTATCCTCTGTCAACAGGGCACCGCCTCATTCAACAGTGGGCCTACATTGCCTCTAGTATCAGTTTTGTCTGTAATGTATTTGAAGAAGCCCTTTCTGCTGTCCTTGACCTCCCTTGCAAGGCTTAACTCCAAGAAGGCCTTAGCTTTCCTAGTTGCCTCCCTACATCCTCTGACAACAGTCTTATAGTCCTCCCAAGTAGCCATCCTCTCCTTCCAAGATCTATAGTCTCTCTTCTTCCACTTGAGTTTGCCCATCAGTTCCCTGTTTAACCATGAGGGTCTCCTGGCTCCCTTTTTTGATTTCCTACCCACTGGGATGCTTCGATCTTGAGCTTGGAAAAAGTGATCCTTGAATATAAAGCAACTATCTTGGGCCCCTTTATCTTGGAGCATCCATAGCTCTTCCCTTGCTTACTGATATAGTTATTCCCTCATAGAAGGCCACTAGGTTGATCAGGCAGGACTTGGTTCTGGTGAAGCTATGCTGGCTGTCTCAAATCATAAACCTCCCTGTCCTCCATGTGCCTTAACGTAGCTTCTAGGAGGGTCTATTGCATGATTTTCTCAGGCACAGAGGGGAGGCTGACACGTCAGTAGTTCCCAGGGGCCTCCTTTCTACCTTTTTTAAAACTGGGTGTGATTTTTCCCTTTTTCTAGTCGCCAGGGACTGCACCTGACTGCCATGACTTTGCAAATATCAGGGAGAGTGGCTTGGTAACTACATCAGCCAATTCCCTCAGCACTCTGGGATGCATCTCATCAAGTCCCATAGACTTCTGTATGTTATGTTCCTCAGGTAGTCATGAAGCTGATCTTCTCTTACAGTGAGAGGGACTTTTCTTCCCCAGTCCCTGTCTTGTGGTCCATCCACTCAAGAGGTGTGGGAGGGGAGATTGCCAGTGAAGACTGAGGCAAAAATGTTGTTGAGTATCTCAGCCTTCTCCTCATCCAGCGTTACCAGCTTGCCAGTCTTGCTCATCAGGGAGGGATATGCTTTCTTTGATCTTTCTTTTCTGGTTGACATACCTGTAGAAGCCCTTCTCGTTATTCTTTGTGTCCCTCACCAAGTTCAGCTCCAGCTGTGCCTTGGCCTTCCTGACCCCATCCCTACACAACCAGACAGTGTCCCTGTGCTCTTCCCACGAAACTGTCCCTGCTTCGACTGCCTGTGCATTTTCTTCTTGCCCTTTAGTTTGATCAGCGGGACTCGACTTACTAGTACTGATCTCTTACCTTGCTTTCCTGATTTCTTGCACCTGGGGATCGAGACCTCTTGCGCTCTATGGAAAGCATCCTTGAAGATCTGCAGCTCTGCTCTGTGCCCTTTTCCCTGAGGGCAGTTTCCCAGGGGTCCTATTGACTAATCCTCTGAAGAGCTGGAAGTTTGCTTTCCTAAAAATGGGGAAATTAGGTACAAATTCCATGGTGCATTACTTCTCTTTTTAAAGACAACCAACAAGAGAGGCCGTCCTGGTTAGCTCTCACTCTGTGTTTTATACCAGTATCGCTGTCGCAGGCTTATGTGAAGCTTGCTCTAGATCTCTAGAGTATCTCTACATCTACAGAGCTTTGCTGGAGAGTACTGGAGCAATTACTACCTCAATAATGCTTGAAAGAGTTAGATAAGAGTTTTGTTGATTGCCCTATTGGACCTAGGTGACTAAATTTTGCCAAGTTTCACTCTAGTGATAGCATTGCATCCAGCTCACTACATCTGATCTGGCTGAGCTCCTCTTCCTGTTTGCAGTAAGAATTCAGCATTTCTAGGGTTTGATTCATCTGATCTCTTTTTTACATTAGTTTAGGATAGTGTGAATCACAGCATAGACTGTCAGCACAGTGGTTATTTTCTCCATTGATTATAAAGAGAGCCTAGGCTGACTAGTAAGAGGTAGGTGTTCGCATTGTGAATCTCTACATTCTGTCAGATGAATCTTCCTCCAAATCATTTTGTGTAGTGAAGGAGCCTAAATGTAGGTTCCCATGATTAGAAGTCACATCCTGTTTTTTTCCTTCTGTGCTTTCAGTTGGTTTCCTAAGGTACACACCCCTACTTTGTCACTCCCAATATTCTGATGGCCTCTCCTTAATAATAAGTGGTTGCACTTTCTAAAACTTTCAAGTACAAACTCACCTCGCCTTATTTTAGTCAGGTAGTCCAAATGACTGAAAACTAAATGCCTGATTTGTTGATAGTTCAGACTTGCTATGGGGAGTGGGAAAGAGAGAGAGAGACTGATGTCATCAGAGGGAATTGTCGTCAGCAAATGTCATCTTGTCCTCCTTGAAAATATTTTAAACCTTACTTACATACTTCAATACTTACTGTTAAGGAGGAGGAGTTCAGACCCACCTATAAGCACATTTAGTAAACCCATAGCACTTCCTACTATTAAGGAACGCATAGACAAGTTTGTGTCATAATGTTTGTATTAGACTTATCTTCCAGTTTGAGTTGCTCTGTGTTCCATCAGCTCAAAGCAATGATCCCAGGAGAAATCAGTGGTGTAACTAAGCCTAATCTATGCACATTCCTCCATGTCAGAGCAATATGCGGGTGTCATGGTGAGAAACACTATAGGAGTCAACAGTTGGTTTAAAGAGTGGCTTTGGGATGGTGTTCTAAGAAGAACTGTGCTCATTTTAGGATGAAGTCCCATCATGCAAATTATAAAGCAGTTATGCAACTGCTTTATATGCAGTTTATATGCTTTTATCTGCTTTATATGCAACACCTTTGTGTTGCATATAAAGCACTATATTAAGAGATCTGGGGACTCATACAACTCTTCCCTAGTAGTGTTTTGCAACAGGAGGCCAAAAAGTGCTTGTGAGAAGCAGAGTGTATGAACTCAGGCTCAATTCCATGGTAACACATTTACAGAGTTGCAGGCCTGTTGGCTTACCTGGCTCTATATGCAGAGTCCTGGTCTCCTTTGGAAATGCTAATGCACATTCCCTGTTTTGAAACATTCATCTCACTTACAGGTATTATAAACTGGAAAGTAATTAGAGCACGATGGAGGAAAGGATCATTATTTAAATAACTTAATTTTTCAATATATGTGAGATATTTAGTAACTGGAACTAACAGAGTATTTTTAAACTGTTGGAGAAAATTGTCCATTCATGCTAAAGGAGCAGAGGAGGAGAATGGCAACAGTATGACTCACCACAGCACAGTTCCTTTTCCCTTTCATCATGGTACTTATTTTTGTTCTGCTTCTCTAAAGGACCATCATTTTTTTCCTCTAATGATCAGATACAATGGCGGATATATAAAAACTTCTAGAACAGCTTGAGCTGTGAGATGAGATCTGATCCATGTGGAGTTGTCGGATGAACCAGGGATGCCTACTAAATACAACTCATCTTAGCTTTTCCTTTATTTCCTGGAAAAGTCTGTTTTCACACAGGAATGTTTTCAAAAAGCGCAGAAGAAACGAGATGAGACAATTTGCGGCTACATTTTTATGTAGCAACTTTGGATTTCATCACAAGCTGGAGTTAGGTTTCACAGCTGCGAGAAAGCTGCCTTCTCTCTTGGGTTTCTGATTGCTGTATTCTGTTTGTAACCTCTGAATTACAAATTTTGAAACAATTATACAGAAATCTGTTGCTAAGTTGTATATGTGCCTATATAAGAATACATGCCTGTTGACAGTTCACATGCATGATCTTACGGTGAAATCTTGGAAGTCATAGATTTTCAAAGCCATGTTGTAATTTCGTGCAACAGGATGGAAGGAAGAGGTTGTCTCAGTATGAGCCATGCAAATGACTGTTAAATCAGTGCACTGTTCTGTCTTTAGCAGAAGCAATGTTTACAAGTGTTTCTGTGATTACAGTCTTCAGGAAAACTGCAGGCAGTGGTACAGATTCACAAACCCTTCCTTGTTCTTGAGCAACATTTTTCACTGGCAACTACTGTGCAGAGATACACAGATCCAGCATAACTTCATTTCCGTAGAGAAAGAATTTAATCCAGGGATTAACACATGTGCACAAGAGAAAGCAGGACTGCAAGCAATGTATTTGACACGTTAATACATTTAGGACCAATGTTGAGGTCAATGGAAAAATTTCAGTCCTAAACTATGTCATGTGGGTAACACAGTTTAGGTAATACAGGTAACAATGAAGTATTACTATAATGTGTAAAAAAAGCAGACTGGAAGATACAGTATGAAAGTACATATATTGAATAAATATTTTTCTTTATCCTTAGGTGGTTGATCTGTTAGTATCCATGTGTCGGTCTGCGTTAGAGTCACCTAGGAAAGTTGTCATTTTTGAGCCATATCCTTCTGTAGTTGATCCTAATGATCCTCAGATGCTGGCCTTTAACCCCAGGGTACGTAGTTATCTTTCATTATGTCATAGCTTGGTTTTAGTCATGCATGAGATTTCAAAGCAAAGCCTTCTTCCAGAGGAGTCTCCTTTACCATAAGAGATACAGCTCCAGAATATAGCACAGGCATGTGACTATTTTCAGAACTTTGTAGCTTTTTTAATTGTCTCTGAGAAGGTATTTGAGTATAAACTGTAAGTTGCATTCAAAGTTATGTTGAAGCCAAGAAAGTATTTTAGGGTACAAATTCTACATGAAAAATTTTATATTCTTAAAGTGTCTTTCTGTCAGTGTACACATTGGACGCAAAGAGAAAGATAGATTTTGGGAGGTGTAGGCCATGTAAACCAAGAGATTTCCAGTTCAACTTTTTATTTTTAAAGTGATTATTGCTGTCATCTTATTTTCTCTTTGCAAACAATAATGTCCTTTTTTCATATCAAATGTTGCCATAAGAGACAAGTGTTGTACAAGCATCAGTTTTGAAGTAAAGAATTGTGTGTGTACTACTTGCTTCTTAGTCTGCCAATACTGCTTCTTAGGGAAGCCCTCAAAAACCTGTGAACTACTATATGTCACTTGAGCCATCCCTAAGGGCATAAATGATAACTTTGGATGTCCTGCACTGGGATACATCTCACTTTTTCTGGACAAAGGCCAGTTAGCAATAGTTCTTCCTCAGGAAGGGGTGAGCATATTCTGTAGCATGTGGGAAGAAAGACTTGCCAGGAGGTGCTTGGAAGAGGGCTGTTGAGGAGACAGCTAGTCTGGTGCCTGGGCAAGGCGGGAGTTTGAAGCAGATGAGTCAATATGAAAGTGGGTCACACCAGAAGAGGATTGAAGAGAGCCCCTGGGCTGGCAGGACCCACACCGCCTCCTCCCAGCTTCTTGCCAGTGTGGGCAAAGTGAAAGCCCATGGGCAGAAGTTGGCAAGACCCAAAGATGGGAAACAGTGAAGCTCCTGAAGGTGACGTGACATGGAGCTGGTGAAGCATGGACTGTTAAGCTCATCCACTCAGAAAGGAGTCATCTGGTAGCGGTTCACAAGCAGAAGGTAGGCAAGGATCAGGGTGAGTCAGAGGGACAACTGAAGGACCTCTGATGTTTTATAGAGCTGTTAGGAAAGTAAAGACATCTGTTTATTTAGCATTTTATTTAAAATCTATTTGGTCACTGCGTTATTTAACTTAATAGCATGTTGTCCAAATAACTGTTCGATCCTGTGTTTAATTAGAAATACTTGTTTAAAAAGTGAGCTTGTTTTTTGAGTGTGTTGGAGATTCCAGTGAAACTCAAAGAAAAACCACTATGATAATATTTTTTCCAGAGAATTTTCCTGGACTATGAATGAGAGTCGTAAGTGTGAGGTGGGAGGAAGCTATTGCTTAGAAATGTTTGAAAGGATTGGTTTGCTGAACCTTGGTTTTATACACACTCAAAAAATTCAGTTTTTTGTAGAGCCTAAGACTAATATTCTTTTAATTGATTTACTTATTTTATGCTACATCAGAAGAAGAATTATGACCGAGTCATGAAAGCATTGGACAGTATCACTTCGATTAGAGAGATGACACAGGTGAGTTTAAAAATCTTTACCTAACTTAATCACTGTTTCTAGAACTGAGAAGATGTTTATATTTCTTGCCTATGATAAGTAGCAAAGTCAATAGTATCCTGTCTTTCCTGTAGAGCTGTAATAATATTAAAATGTGTGTTAAAAATAACAAACAGTGTATCTATAATGGCAGTCAAATAAAAGTGGTGAAGTAGAACTCAGATCTTTGGAAGTTTAAATAAGCAGAATGGGGCATTGTAACGAGATAATCACTGCTGCATTACTGGAAATACCAAAGCCAGACTGGGTCTTCTATTTCCAAAACAAAAGAAATTGCTTTTGTGACAGTGTTCTGAATGATAGCTTTATTTCTATTATAAGAAAACACTTGGTCATTATGGTTGGGGACTTGGAAGGTTGAGTCTGTTGGGATTACTACTAAATGATTTCTCAGTATTCACAGTGGGACAGAATCTGATAGCTGTACTTATGTTTGTTGTTACAATTCCTTTCCCAAACAGCCCAGCTGATGATAACTCGTTATTGAAATCTCTCCCATGTACATTGCTTTTCCAACTTCTATGTAAATATACCTCACAAGAGTTCATAAATCTTACTCTATATGTATTCGTAAAGTACTTTGAGATTCTAGAATGAAGAACGAGGTGTACAGAGAGGAGTAAAATCTATTTAAAATGAAAATTCACATATTTTTGTTACTTAATGTAATGTCTTTTAAAAAAGAAAAATAACACCCATTTTGATTTTTTTTAATGTTAAAGTGGTTCTTGGACTGCAGAGTTTTGAAGCACTTTGCACTGTGATTGAAATAAAGAAAGGTTTTCAAAGGGATTATAAGCAGATACAGTGTTTTACTTTACCAGTTTATGCCATGAAACAGTTAAAACAAATGGAATGGATTATCTTGGGGTATTTTGAGGGACTTAATTTTGCGAAGTTCCAGTCCAATTTCTAAATCCAAGAGACAAACATAAATGGATGTCTTCTGCTGTTCTCCCTGAGATCACCAATGTTTGCTATAATATACTCATTTTTATGCTAATTACATGCTTATTATTTTACTCTAGGGAAAATAATTGCTATATTAATTCCTGTTGTTGTCAAAACACATTTATAACTGTACAACACTAAATGTCAGTAAAACTATGGTTTAAAGCTAATAATGAGTACCATGTATTGGTTTTAATAGATGAACTCATGGGCAATGTAACATATAAAATTTAACGTTATGATTCCAACTAGAAATAAAGAATGTAATTACTCTTTTCTAGGCACCTTACTTGGAAATAAAGAAGCAGATGGATAAACAAGACCCACTTGCACATCCTCTTCTACAATGGTATAAAATTAACTCACATGAGTTGATATTTTTAAAAGTACCAAGTTTAATGAAAAATCACTTCACCAGTGTAATTTGGTATAAACTCATTCTAAGAATTAACATCAGGGTTGACATTTGCAACTGCAGGTGTTTCTGGACTGTTTCTGGACCTCATCTGGGCCCTCTGATGACACTGGAAACATTCCAGCTTATTTGTACAGCCTCTGATCTAGTTTTCTAGTCAAGTCTTCCATCTGATAGGTTCAAAGGCCTGCATCTGGGTGCTTTGTGGTGGCCATTCATAATACATTTTTAAAATAAAAGTTCTGTTTGGTTACCATGTCTAATACATCTAACTATTTCTTATTTTAGGGTTATATCTAGTAATAGATCGCATATTGTGAAGCTACCGGTGAATAGGGTAAGTGTCAGTGGGTTCTTTATTATTTTCTTATTTCTCATGGCTCGTGTTAGCATTTTAGGTGTGAGTCTCCTAGCTGAATGTAGGTGTCTACATTTATACTAGTCACATGAACTCCATTAATAGACAAGGGAGAGAAATAGGCAGTTTTGGGTCATGACTCATAGAATCGTGTTGTGAATATCTAAAACAGGTCAAAGGAATAATGCTTATAAAAAGCCTATTTGAGGTGAGTAGCTCAAATACAAGTGTCTACCTTGTAGTCATCTGAGATTGGGTGAGAATAACTTCACTATTTGTTTTCTTGCCATGTAGAATATTGGGTACAGAATTGTACAGAAAGCAATGGACACAAACATGATGTACCAGGAGACCTACATATAAGTACACCTCAAAAAGTGTATGGCTCTTTAATTTTAGAGGGAAGGTGTTGAGATTAATTTCTGAGTGTGTGTACCTCTGATGCTCTGATTAAGGGCATAGTAATCTGCAACTTTCGAATCTGAACCTTAATTCAAAGCCAACTCTGATCAGAACACCGTGATGAAATTGTTCAGTTTAATTACTTTACTAGAGCTGTGTTAGGCTGAAATCTGTTTCAGAAACTTCCATATGTTTCATGGACTGAAGGACGTTTTTATTGTTTGATTTCAGGTAAAAACTATGGTAATGAGACTGATTTCAACTTAGTTCATGTGGTTATTTAGATGCAGTCATGTATTGTGCAAAACAGCGTAGTATCTTAAGAACAAACATTATGGAAATACAATGCTTTTGTGTTAATCAACTTCTTTTCACTTGGACATTGTTGTATTTTACAGCAACTAAAGTTTATGCACACTCCCCACCAGTTCCTACTTCTCAGCAGTCCACCAGCCAAAGAATCCAATTTCCGAGCTGCTAAAAATCTCTACGGAAGTACCTTTGCATTTCAGTGAGTACATATAGTGATCAAAGGTTATCAAAATGCCATGCTATTTTTTTGTTCTTCCCATTGGAGGTTTACAGCTGTGAATTTATTGTTTTAAAGGATTACTGATTTCGTTTTGCATTTTACACTGTGGATTTTGATGCTTTATTTTTCCTTTTTTTCAGTGGTTCACACATTGAAAATTGGCATTCCATCCTGAGGAATGGCTTAGTTGTTGCTTCCAATACAAGGCTGCAGGTAAACAGTAGACTGAATAGACTTTAGATAACCTATCATGCTTGATTATATACTAGCTTAGGCAGGTTTTCACAGGGTGTAGTTCTGGAAGTCATATAGGTAGAAAGAAAGAGATGATTTCAAATACCCTTTTGCTTCCTGGAGAAGAGGCTTTTCTGATGCAATTGAAATTAAATAATGTCTAGAAAATCCCATTGCTGGCATCAGTGTTTGTTTTATATTGCAGAGCAGCACCTCCAGGAGGCCTAGCTCGGTACTGCTTTAAAGCAGTCTTGGAGTTAAAATTTAGAGCTACATAAAATACCTCCATGTTATGGGATCCAAGAGCATACTAGATTTAGGGGAACAGTGTTTACAGCACCTTGTCTTCTCCTCGGGTTTCCTTGAGAATGGAAATATGAGTGTACTGGCCAGAAGGGAGCTATTGCAAACTTCATTTCATTTTCTCAGACTAAATCATCAGGAGACGGCTAGTGCAGAGTAAAATAGCCAGTACCAGAGGGACTGAGGAGCTGTAACTCCAAGTATTTTAGCAGCATGGTTTTGACAGCTCTTCCCCAGAGCTCCATCCATGATACCGTGGAGGATCCCAGGATGCTGACTAAGGATTGGGGTACAGAAGACACTGAAAAAAAGGAAGTTGAAATCTACTGTTCCTCCTAGTGGTTTGGGTGTTTTTATTAGTATCTTTGGAAGATAATTCCACGAGAAAGCAGGATTTACACGCCAAAATTCACCCAAGTAAACCCCTTTGTTTATACTTATTTTTTTTTGTTGAGGGTTGAGATACTGGGAATAGGAGGAAGCAGTAAAGCCCTGTTTTATACAAGTCATCTTTTTTAGATCTCTCATGTGCCTAAGGCATATCCTGACCCCAGTTCATCCTATTTACCCAAGTACCAACCAGTCAGGAAAAATATCTACTCACCAAGGATCCTATTCAACATTGTAAGATCTGGAGAAGTGAAAGCATGTTTGCACATTCCTATGGTAGCTCTGTCACTTTGCAGAGACAGTGTAAATATCATTAGGTCAGAGGAAGGAAATAGGGTCAGCATGACTCTGATGCCCAGTAGTCGTAACATCTGCCTGGGTAGGAGATACTCTGGATTCTCAATTGTGCTCCAACAACTGGTGTGTTTTCTTTAAAGGCTTTCCCACATAAAGCAATTAGTCCCTGGTGGAGAAGTGAAACCCGTACTTCCCCCCCTTCCAGAAAATGAGTGCAGGGCTAATAAAAAGTGCTCAGTTTTGTTGCTTAGCCCAAGCTTCGTGATATGGAACAATGACATTGGTGAAGAAGAGTCTTCCCTTGCCTCTGTTCTTTTCAGACAGCTGGTAGCTTTGTGGCTAAAGCACAGTCCTGCGGTAATGGGATATGCACATCTGAATTGGCTCTGGCAAAAGCTTAATTCAACCCATTCCTCCAGTACTCAGACTGAACTAGTGACTAAGTTTTTTTTATAGTCTATGACCAGTGTCATCAGCATCTCTTCATTTCTTACCTTAAAGAAAACAAAGCCAGCGGTTGCTGCTGTTAATTCACAGAGGCTGGCTTAGGCTGTACTTACTGACAGGATTTTGATGTGAGACATACGCTGAGCTTGCTCAGCCTTGTTCAGGCTGCAGTGTATTTGGCCACGTACTGAAGGACCCTCTGTAGGCATCCTCCATGGTAATGTTAGATTTAAAAGCAGAAAATGCAATTTTGTATGTAAATCTGATGTAAAATTATGTTTGGGCATTTGGACATGGTTTCCGGAATATACAGTATTTTAGTTGTATATTCGCAGCGTGGTTTTTTTGAAGACACCTTTGAACACCATTTATTACCAGGCAATAAATGGATGCAGTGGGGCAGATGCTTGTCTACATTGTGACCTGTTCCTATCATTATTATTTTGTCCACATAACCAAATTAATGTTAAACCATCACTCCGCTCTTTTTCAGCTCCATGGTGCAATGTTTGGAAGTGGAATCTATCTTAGTCCATTGTCAAGCATATCATTTGGTTACTCAGGTGGTATTTATAAATCACTCTAAAGTTGGGGAAATATGGGGGGAGGTATCTTAGTCTACTGCTTTTCTTACCAGCTTCGCTGTTTACAACACTGTATTAAATTTTATCTTTGTTGACCAAGATGTAATTTATTCAGAAAAGAGAAATCTAAATTCCCTTATTAAATACCTATCCTCATTTTCCAAGGTGCTGAGTATCTTGAAACTGTACTTGAACTAAATAGTAGCTAATAGTGGATGCTGTGTGTAATGGAGCAGGTCTTGATTATGCAGTGGAAATCCAACTTTGTGATTTTTTGTCAGTATCTGCCTGAGTCCATCTAACATTTTCTGTGGATTCATAAGCTTTTACAACCTGATCTGACAAAACAAATATTCATCAATAAAGATGTTCAACTGTGTATGTTTAAGAATATTCCCAAGTATTGCCATGTCACGATTACATAGAAAGTATAGGACAGTCTGTTTATTTTAGCATGAGAAAGGGAGGGAACCTAATTTGTCCCACTACTAAATCCAAAAGTAAGTCGTGCAGTGTTTTCCATATAAGAATTAGATCATAAAGAGAAGCACAATAGAAACAAGATACACCAAACATACATTAAGAAACTTACGAGATTTTAAAATACGGTGACTTTTTCCTTTAGGTATGTACCAGTTCTACATGTGAAAGTGCGGGTATAGTTGAATGTGTGATTGTCTGCATGGAGATAATTCTGAGACTTCTGGTTATGCTTTCTGGTTTTCAGTATTAGATAATGTCCCAATTCATTTTAGAGCTCAGCACTTTTTATTACTGATTACTGAATTTCAATATCAGGAATCTCTAAATGCACTTTTAGTTTTTCAGAGATTACACAGGTATGGAAGCTTTTTAGGACTCACCTAAAGTGCAAGTTGCAGTATCACTATCTAAGAAAATGCTCTTCCTTTTGGACAGCGCTGCTTTGTCAGCTTCAGTATTTTTCTTGTCTCTCTACTTGGTCCCTTCCATCCAGTCTCCTCCAGAAAGGAGGCCTGTGTTCCTGTGAAGTATTATTGATGCCATTAAAAGCCACAGAGGAGTCCTACACTGCCTATTCCTTCAAAGAGTTAAACTTCCCCATGATTCAGTCTGTGTTTGCAAACTGCCAAGAAATACGGGATACTGGAAAGGCAAGGAAGCCTGTGGTAGCGTACAATACAGGAATTTTATGTAAACCAACATGGGAAATATAAAAGAGATCTAAGGCACAAATGTAGGTGTTTAGATTTCTGAGATGAAAATTGGATCCAGTGTGGCTGACAAGTAGTTTGATACTTTTACATGTAGATAAATTAATGAAACCGAGGTAGACTTTAAAATGTTAAATAAATTAACTGCTACTAGAAATTAATTAGACTTTTAATAAGTCTAAATGAAGTGATAAAGATTATTATTTAAAGTTCTTTCTCTCATGATTTTACTGTCCCACCCACAGTTGACTTCAGCCTGAATAGGGTCAGTTAGTGTCAAGACATGCTGAAATGCAACTCTATTAAGCAACTACCTGATAGCACTCCTGAACTGAATTCAGTGGCATTTAAGCTCATATTTATCTGCATTTGCACCTACTTAATGCTCACTTGACTTTCCTAAGGTCTTTGCAATATATGCAGATGTACTGGTAATTTGTGGGATTAAATTGAGATACTCTATGACAAAACTAACTAGCTTTTAAGTGCCATACCAAGGATTGTGATTCCCACTGTGCTACCTGTTTTCATTCTCCATACTTAACTTTGCTTATTATGGTATTTATATGCCAGGGTATCTTACATGGTTTTAATATTCCTAGGTATGAACAAGAAGCAGCAGAAGGTGTCAGCTAAAGATGAACCAGCTTCAGGCAGTAAGAGCGGTAATACATCACAGGTACAGTACATCAACCACCTCTGGAAGATTTATGGTTTTATGCTTAGGAGCTTGGTAGCTGAAAAGGAGGTAATATTCCCTTTGTGAAAGCTAACAGTTTTATTTTATTGAACGAAATCAACAACTTCAGACATCAAATACAGCCCAACTGCTTTTAGTAACGGTTTGTATACTGCAGGTCTTGTGCCCTTCTTTTCGAGGCAGAATAATTTAGGAAGAGAATGAAGATGAGATAGAGGTTCCATTATGACCCTTAGTAAGCTGTTGCTTTCTGCGTTCTAGACTTGCAGAATAATGATGCAAAAGGAATTGAGACTGGTTATTGCTGCAAAATGAGTAGCATTTAATTTATAGCAAGTCAGTTTTTCATGTTTTTTACTTATTAAACCATTACAATTCTGCTTTATCTAAAGCAAACTGATAATATTTATCTGTAGGGCTAAATTTTGAGAAAGAAGTCTTACATCTGTCTCCATAGTTAACACACAGAAACTACAGAATAATCTGGCTTTGGAGAGAGTTTGGTGTGTAACAGCAGAAGCCCTCAGAAATGAGAAAGCCAGTAAAATACTGGGGTAGTGGCCAAAGAATCAGTGATTAAATTAACCTTTATTTTTTCCTGCTATCAATTTATTTATCAGTAACACTCAGACATTTCTAATAATGTTATTCGTTCTGCAATAATTAGGAACTCTTCTTTCTGGATAAAGGAGTTCAAATCCTTCCTGCAATAATCCAAACAAATAATACAAACATTTTTAAAAATTCTACTACATTTAGAAAAACAATAGACGTGTTAAAAAGACTGCTTCTATCTTTGTTCATTAATAAACCACTGAAGATAGCAGCCCTCTCACTTTGTTACTTTTTCACTCTCTTTGTCTTACTGCACTAATTAAGTTTTCTTATGTTTTTACGTCTCAGTCACAGAAGAAAGGACAACAGTCACAATTTTTGCAAAGCCGTAACTTAAAATGCATAGCCTTATGTGAAGGTAAGCTGAAAGCCCTTGAAAAACTGTTTTAGTTACGGACACAGTGTTACTGGGTGCAAATCAGTGAGACCTTTAGTTCCAGTATTGGTTGTTTTTAGGTAAGAGACTACTGGTAGGCGTACGAGTACTTGCTTAATAGCTGACCTTTATATTTCAGTTCAGAACATTTTGTTCTCTGAACAAAACCTATAACGCATGCTGAGTTTTCATGAAATAATCATATACACATAGCAACTGATCATCTGGTCTGTCGTTCAAATGTGATGATTTTCCTAAGCCATCAAGATAACCCAAGTTGTGGTCTTTATTTGAAAAACTGACTTCTTGCAGGCTCTTGAAAAATGCATTGAACACCTAAAAGTCACAAGAAACAGCTGTGCTATTGAATTTCCAAATTTTTCACTGTTCAGGCAAATACACTGTTCATCTGGTAGCCAGTCTGTTCTCTTTGACAGCTTCAGAAATTTTGTGAAGTTAAGATCCAGTACATATGAGTACTGTCATTCTTGAAGGACTTGGCTGTTCTTTTAATAACTAAAGAAACCTCAGCAGGTTTTGAAAACAAAGAATTATGCAATTTGAATAAGAATTGTAACAGTAACTGGTGATTAGTCACACTGGCCAAACAGAAAGAAATTATATTATGCTCAGTTTGCCCTTCATTTGGAGCATTTGTTTATTTTTAAAAGTAAAAATTAAGACAGACAGTGGAAAACATGTTGTTTCAAAATGGAAGCTTTAAGCTGTATATGCTAGATTTTGAGAATCACAGAATCACAGAACGGCAGGGATTGGAAGGGACCTCTAGAGATCATCTAGTCCACACCCCCCTGCTAAAGCAAGTTCACCTACAGCAGATTGCACAGGACTGCATCCAGGCGAGTTTTGAATGTCTCCAGAGAAGGACACTCCACAACCCCCCTGGGCAGCCTGTTCCAGTGCTCTGTCACCCTCAGAGTAAAGAAGTTTTTCCTCGTGTTGAGCCGGGACTTCCTGTGCTCTAGTTTGTGCCTGTTGCCCCTTGTCCTGTCTTCGGGCACCACTGAAAAGAGCCTGGCCCCATCCTCTTGACACCTGCCTTTTCAATATTTGTAAGTGTTGATAAGGTCCCCTCTCAGTCTTCTCTTCTCCAGGCTAAAGACCCCCAGGTCTCTCAGCCTTTCCTTGTAGGAGAGATGCTCCAGTCCCCTCATCATCTTCATAGCCCTCCGCTGGACTCTCTCCAGTAGTTCCCTGTCTCTCTTGAACGGGGGAGCCCAGAACCGGACCCAGCGCTGCAGATGTGGCCTCACCATGGCAGAGCAGAGGGGGAGAATAACCTCCCTC